ATAATAGTTCCCTTAATATATATATATATATATATATTATTCATCTATTATATCATTCGAATATTATAGTGTTTTTATTTCAATACAAAATATGACTTATATTATAGTCATTTAACTTGTTTTGATACAAAGAATCTGTATTTAAGTTCCATTTATTTATTTGAAAATTTAAAAAATAATTTGTAATTATATAAAATCATAATTAACGACCTAATTAATGTGCAGTATGAGATAGAGAGAGAGAGTGATAATTATAAGAGGTATAGAAGTTTTAGAATTGTTGAAAGAATAAAAGTCTTATTCAAAAAATTGAGAGATGAAATTTAGCATTAGGACTGTCGGATCAATAATCATCAAGCGATCTAAGTCATAAAATAAGTGAGAAGTGATGGATTTGGAAGGGGAGAATTCAATGTGAATGATTTTAAGATGGATATTGATAGCTACCGGATGAGTCTATTTGAGACAGTTGGATGAGTTTATTGAAATATGTATTGTTTTATATTATAAATTATATATAGATATAGATAGATAGATATATATGTATATATATATGATGACATATGTTAATAAACCTATATTTTGTTAGCGATAATCCTTGTTATTGTACTATTATTTTGTTAATTTTAAATTACGCATTTAAACTGTTTATTGTATAGATTGGATTATATATATATATATATAACCGTCAAAGTCAATCTCTCCCATGGTTTGAATGCGAATGAGAAGAAATAAAAAAGAATGTAGTAAAGTCCTTAAGAATGTAGATATTTCTCCAATGGTTTGAATGAGAATGAGGAGAGATAAAGGAATATAGTAGAATCCTGTAGGAATATAGATTAATTAGGATTGTCAGATCAAAAACCTGAAAATTATCTGAGCCGCAAAAAGTTCAAGACAAATCAAGTTAACTATTTTATTATATAGATGAATTCCGTAGACATGTTGATATTTTCTTAAGTTCTTATTTAAAAGAAAATTTTGCCAATTTTTTTAAAAAAAGTGGGAAGTAGATTGTTTTTAATTTTTTTAATTAATACAAATAAAATAAATATTATTATAAATTGACGATTTATTTTAAGTTTCTAAATACCTTTAGGCAATGTAATATTCTTCGAATTGTAAATTAATTTTTTTGTTATCTTGTGCCTTTAAATATGGAAAATTATTAATTGTTGGTATAATTTCACAATATAACTTCAATCTTTTGTCTAACATTTTCTATTTAACATTTCATGTGCAAAAATCTAGCACATAATCATGATGGGTATTATTTGTTTCTCTTTAATGTATTTCGTCACACATATAGAGTCTCAATGCCCAACCCCAAAGTCAAGCTTTTCTTTCGGTTCAAAACGCGTATTTGAAATTATAGTGCTAATTGCATGTTTTATACAGACTGATTATAATTTAAATTGAGGACTTAATTTAATATAATTATTAAATTAATTATGAGTTCAAAATATTAAATAAAATTTACCTTCATTTCAATAATTATAATAAATTAAATTTCCAAAATTTAGGTATTCTCCTTTCATCATTTTTTACGGTGCCTAGGGGTGCAACTCGGGCGGGTTGAGAGGTCAACTCTAGTCCTATCCTAAGTATATAATCTTCAACTCTAACTCTAACTCTATTTCAACCTGAGTATTGTCCGAGTTTAATTCGGGCGGGCTCAGGTTGAATTCGGGTGGACTGATATCGAGTTAAAAATCGGGTTGGACTTGAGTTACTTAATTTAAATTGATTTTTTGAAGTGTAGATTTGATTTTTTCAAGTGTAAATTTGATTTTTTTTAAGTGATCTAAAATGAAGGGCGAGATACAGATGAAGAGAGAGGAAGTGAGAGAAGGACTAGTGACAAATGAAAAAATGAGGCTGAGAGTCTGAGACGATTCAGACGAGTGACAATTGAGTGAGGGAGGTTAATAAAGGGAGAGAAAGATCTGAGAGTGATGGAGGCACAGGGTGAAGACTTGAAGTGAAGTGAAAGTTTGAATTTGAAGATAAATAATAATCCTAATTAAATATATTTATATATATTCGGGATCAATCCGATTTAATATTCGGGTTGAAGCAGACAACCTAAAGCCTCAATCTAAAATTTGTTCAAATTCAATTCGAGTTGAAATTTTTTGTCCAGACTCAATTCAAGGATTATAAATTTTTATCCAAATTCTATTTTTTTCGGGGTCACTCGCCTAAATTGCACCCGTGCATTATTGAAGCTTTCTCGGTCTTGACATAATTAAAGTTGTTGAGTTGTAGTTTTAAGGGCAAAAAAGAGCGGCGTGCCGTGTACACTCTGATTTAGACCACCACCAAAAAAGAGTCGTCCAAGCTGTGAAGTGATCCACCCACCACCCACGCAATAACAATTATAATAAAGTTATGGATAAATGTATTTGATAGTTCCAATGTATCAACTTCCACTCAAATTGGTCCTTTTTAGGCAACTAAGAGCATCTTCCGAAGATGAGTTAAAAGCACACAAAAATTTTAAAATTTTGTTATTTTATTTTAAAATTTCATTCCAATATAATATTTTCTGAGTATTTAAAATAATATTTTGTTATAGTGATACTCTATATATAGAATATTTTCAAATCATCTAAAATAATACTTTGTTACATTGATATTCGATAGCAATATATACAAGAGTCCAACTTTTTTGAATAGAGTTTCAACTTTTTTGAATAGAGTTTCAACTTTTTTATAGCAGTTCCAACTCTTGTGGGGAAAGTTCTAACATTTTTTGATGTTCCAACTCTTGGGGTTCTAGCAGTATGTGGTTCCAAATTTTTGGTAGATGTTCCAACTTTTAAGGGGGAAGAGTTATAACTTTTTTTGGGTGGGGGTTTCAATTTTTTGGGGTAGATTTTAACTTTTTTGGTAGAAATTCCAACTCTTGGAAAGGGGTTCCAACATTTTTGGTAAGGTTCCAAATTTTTTGGAGTAGATTCCAACCTATTTGGTAGGATTCTAACTTTTTTGGGTAAGTTTCCAACTCTTGGGAGAGTTCCAACTTTTTTGAGTTTAACTGAGGGGTTTTACTTTTTTTTGTAGCGATTTCAATGTTTTTGGGTGAGATTATTTGTCAAATCTTACTCTTTTCTATTACCGGCTTAGCAGGTAATCGGTATCCCACTTCTCAAACTGATCAACGGCTATAAAAACAAATAAATTAATCAATGGTCCAAATGAAATGTCGATACCAATCTGCTTCTACTCTAAGGCAACAGCTTGCACCGCTCAACACCAATCTGATCCAAAAAGTTAGCACATAAGTACGCTGGGTATTATTTGTTTCCTTTAATGTATTTCGTCTCATATATAGGGTCTCATTGTCTATAACTATAATTTATACAGAATAGATCAATGTAAAATATACTGAAAAACATTCTCTGCATATTATATTTTTTCCCTTTATAGTATTCAAGCTAAAAACTGCCATTCAAACTGGGTGATGACTGCAATTCAAAAGTTCAGTTATTAGGTGACTTAGCACAAAATTAAAAGAGAATCCCCTCAGAACGTTTAACAGGATAATATAAGCCTACACATAAGAGCTCTTTAAGGGGTGATCATAAGGACAAAAGACCAGCTAGATGTGCAATCAAGGTTGATTTAACGAAAGCATATGATTCAGTTGACTGGGGCTTTATGTTGGACACGTTAGATGCTTTTGAGTTTTCCTTCAGCTATGAGGATGTGGATAAAAGATTTTATAACATCCCATTGATTTTCAATTAATGTCAATGGTGAACTAGCAGGTTCTTTCCTAGTTCTAGAGGGCTGAGACAGAGGGATCCCGTCTCCACTTATCTCTTTGTCATGGCCATGGAAGTATTGAGCCTCATTACATTACAACCGCCAAATTCCAGAAGAGGCTTCTGGTTCCATTGGATATGCAAAGAATCAAACTTGTTAGCCCCACATTTGTGGATGATCTGCTTCTTTTATGCAAAGGGGAATTGAACTCGGTCACTGTCCTCAAGAGTGATTGGATTGTTTCCAATTTTTTTTTTCTGAAGTTCCAAGTGATGTTAAAGCTGAAATCATTAAGAAAATGAGTTTCACAGAAGGAGATTTACCTGTAAGGTACTTGGGGTGTTCCACTAGTTACTACAAGACTTAGAGCCCATCACTGCACTGCCCTAATAAAAAAACAGTGACCAAGGTTAAGAACTGAACTCATTTTGTATAGCCGATTCATACCTAGAATGAGTTTCATCTTATGGCTTGCAGTGAGGCAAAGGCTTAGCACCAAAGATAGAACATAATCTTTTGCGGCTCACTTGAGACTCCAATGTCTCTTTTGCAGAAATGCTCTTGAGATTCATGAGCACCTGTTTTTTGCTTGTCCATTCACACACAGGATTTGGAGACACCTGAAGCAATATTTGGTTCAAAATTACACTGAAAGACCATGACCAATTCTCATCCAGTGGGGAGCACAATAGTGGAAGGGCAAGTCTATGAGGACTGTAACGAGGAAAGCATGCTTGACAGTTCCAGAATATTGCATTTGGAGGGAAAGGAATGCTAGAATCCATTCCAACCAATACAAAGACAGCAATGCAAACTTGAAAACAATTGAGCAGGTTACCTGGGACAGAATGACATCCCTAAGGTTCAAGCACAATTTGCAAATATGGAGATCATGCAGAAGTGGAGGTTACCAGATAGTTGTCTTGCGTGATATCTTTTTGTCCACTTACTACTCTGTAATAGTTTAATTCTTTAGAAAAATACTACTTGGACCTAATCTGAGTACTTAAGTTGGGGACATAATCATTTACAGTTGTTGGATGAAAGGTGAACTCCATATAATATAATATTGAAGCTCATAATTAATCTATTAGCTATATTGAATTAGGTCCCAAATTAGTTCAGTATAACTTTGCTCAATTCTTTGTACTACCTGTACTTTTTGTCAAATTTATTTGAAGTGCTTACCTTGAATGTGCACCCCTCACAGGTTTGTTTACTTTTGATTCCTGTGCATGTTTTAAGGGGAATAGCTCCTTATTTTGTATATCGTTGCTACACATCAATGGAATTGTTATTTTTCGGATAATATGCGGATACCTGTTTCATGTTTGGCTGTAATGGGATGTCCACAATCTCTGATTCATGGACATTAACACTTTATTTCTAATCGTTCTTACAGAACGAAATACAAACAACTGAAATAAAAAAGCAAAGCAATTAACTTAACTCGTGTACAAAAGTGACACCCATGACGAAGTGAATGATTAGAACAGCGCCACAGCAACTGCAGGGATGATAGCTGCAACCCAGCTTGCCCAAGCAATGTTATCAGGAAGGTAAATTCCCACAGCCCCAACAATTGAAGATGATGACGCTATGCCTCCAATTTTGGTCATGATGCGTGAAGCCATTGGCTTTTTAAGACGCAGTGTAATGGCGGTGAAGGCACAAACGAAAGCAGTTGCATTAGCCACCCCAAGAAAAGACAAGGTTGGTGAAAAAGATGAGCCAGTATTGGCAAAACCAACAAGACCAATGGTAACAGTACTAGCGGTTCCGATCACCACATCATTTAACTTGGCAAGACAATCAATTGCTCCCTCTGACAGAAGTTTCATATGCTCATCTTTTTTAATTTTTTTTAGCATCTGATCAAATAGATCAAGCGCGCTAGGTTCATCAATAATGATGCGAATCATGTCATCACTGGGAGTTTGATTTGTACCTGATCCACAATTAGAGCTAGAGCTAGCCCCAGCATCGAAGTTTAATGCAGGGCCCTTGAGTTTCTTCCCCCAGATATCTTTATGTTTATGTCCGTCTGCAGCTACAGATTCTTCGACCATATTCTTCATAATCTCTTTTAGACAACGAAGCCTGAGATAGTCTTCCCAGTTGTGAATAGTTTCCTTTTTCACATTAAAATTGGTATGCAGCCTCATGGTCTTTGAAGGGTCATCAGAATAGTACTTCAGCATCTCTTCAACTGGTAACCCAAAGAATTCAGGATCAACCACTAACATTCTCGCTGCTACTTCCATCTGATGAGACACAAATTTACAAAGCATAACCATTTTTATTATTAAAAAAACAAAAAAAAAAAGAATAAATGACTAGGGAAAATGACAATTAAAACAACCCAAAAATAATGAAAATTTCATTTTAAAAAAAAAACTACGAACCTGGAAAACGCCATATTCACGCCTAGCATGGACTATTTGTTGGAGTAATAGATTTTTATCTCCACAGCCCAAGTCAACTAACGGAACGTTTTCCCAGTCGTCAACTTGGGATAGATTTGGTCTTTCGGATTCTGGACGGACATAACTTTCCGGGAGGCTTGCGGATCGGAATGCACTGGAGATGAGTTTTGTTTCCATGGATTTCGGAGACAGGGAGAGGGAGAGGGAGAGGGAGAGGGAGAGAGAGTAGACCGCTAGACTCGAGTTGAAGAGAAATTTTGTATCATAAATTAGAGCTGCATGACTCGAGTTCAATCAAAATTTTAATTTTTTAAATTTAGACGATATTTAAGTTTAAAAAAACACTTAGATAAATTAAATTTTAAATTGAAACTCCATTAGAGATCGAGGAATATTATAATAATTTAATCAAGATTTAATTCAATATAATCATTGAATTAATTTTAAGCCGATTCTATTTTTAATTTAAAATTTATATTAAATTAAAATTTTAAATAATATTTTTCTTGAAGAATTTTAGTCTTTGGTTACCGTGTTTGATGAAATAATTGAACTATCAGTCAAAAAAACCTTGTTGACTGATTGAACGATGGGTTATTTACATTACTTTATTACAAATATTAGGAAGGTTCCAGACGATATGGGTGTGTTCAACCATATCGTCTCCCTCTCGATAGATAAATTGTAAACACGTTAATTTGCAAGCAGTCTCCCTCTCGATCGTGACCTTCAATTCCTTAATGCAGAAGTTTTCTTAGTCTTTCTACTTTGCATTATTTTTCTGCGAGGCAGTTAACTTCAGAATTTCCGAGAAGCTGCCTTTGTCCTCTCAAAAACGTCAACATACTTCCTCTGTATTCAACGGAATTAAGTGACAATTGTCAAAATCCTTATAGTGACAATGTGGTTATATTGATCAAGTTGTGTTGTTGATTGGAAAATATATAATTTTAAATTAATTAAATAATATTTTTTATAAAAAAAAAAGTGAAAAAGAAGAATTCTTCTAAAAAATAATGGTTTTATATATGGATAGATTGGTGAAGTTTTGAAACAAACACAAACTGTCCGAGTCGCTATGTTGATATTATGTATAGGACTAAATCAAATTTGTGTATCAATTATATACTTTTAGTACCATCAACTGATAGATACTTTTAACTCAATTTTAATATCATTTGGGAGGAGGTATTGTAATGCAATTTAAAAATATTATGTTGTTATTTTACTGTTTTATCAGATGTCATATCATACCACTCGCAGGGCATAATAAAAAGTATTTTTTGTCTTAATTTTAATCTTGTATTAAATGCACCTATATAGAATCTAATGTTGTATGATATTAATATTCAATCTTATATTAAATTAATGTTGTTATTAATCTAATTTTTTTTATTAGTACGATAATCAAACTAGTCCTTAAGATTTTAATTATGTTTACTAAGAACACTAATACTATTTTGACATAATTCAAGGATATAATATAGGACCAATTTTAATTTGTACCCTGAAAAATTACTCAAATCTTAATTTGTACTTTTAAAGTTTAAAAATATTAATTTACACCTTAAAAGACATAAAATTGTATCAACGTGCACTAGAGGTTAACTGTCATCTATTGAATTTTAATTTTAATTCGCTATAGCAATTTGAATTTGAATTTGCTATAGTAAGATATATTTAATGATGAATTGAATGCATTTTATTATTATTCGATTGATCACAATGTAATATATTCTGGAAAAAAAATATTATTTAGATCTATTTTAAAATCTAATAAAATGATTTATAATTATTGAATTAAATATATGATTCATCTAATAATAAAACTCACAACTAATCCTTAAAATCACATTAGATCCCAAGTAAAGTCCGTATTGCATTGCTCCTCCCGAAATGGTTTTAATTTTCCAAGAATTAGCTGAATCTACGATATGCTATAACCAAGCTTCACTCCGCTCCCCTTGGAATAATTAGCTTCAACCTCTGTAATGAAGATGGGAAAGCAGACAGGCTCGTTCAAAGCTCCTTCTCCTCTATTTGCTGTCTTCCCTTCAACTGAAAAAATCGAGCGTAAAGTTTCATCGGCAATTTTGGTGGCCACCTCCGCCACAGGAGCGGTGCTGCCGTTTCTTCCCTACGACATGATAGGTAAAAACCGAGTACCCACCATATTCTTTAAGGGCCATCCCTCTACCTTTCACGCTTTCATCATCTCAATTATGTTCGCCTTCTCTGGCTCCTTCAGCTCGTTGTTTCTCCCAACAGGCCGAAGATGGCAAGGATTTGCCGGTTTTATTCTATGGTTGCGGCGGTGTCCGCACTTTTAATTCTGCTGTTTGCCATATCTTCAAGCTTATAGATCTGTGACTCTGTTTCGATTCTGTGTCTATGTTTGGATGGACAATTTATTATGTATTATGTATTTGCTTGAACCGCCTTTTTGGGTTGTAGTTGCCTGAACCGCCTTTTTTATTCACGATGTTACTTCCCAGATCAATAATTCTTTTCCTTACTATGAAATATGATAAATCTATCATGTAAAATGGTCTTTAATATAACGGTTGCTGATGTAATACACAACAAGATTTCTGGTTTTGTGCGAGTCTCAGAGAGGATAACTTCAATAAACGGAGGGATCGCTGATGGCTCAATTCAACTATAGCAGCGCCTGAGAGGTTCGCCGGCAGGTGGACGTCGATGTATGGAAACCGAACTGGCGACGATTCAAAACTCTAACCTGCATCGCCGTCGGTGGGGACTGCGGCGCTACCTATGAAGAAGATGGGGACAAAGGGTAAAACCTTTGCCTTTGAGCTGTCCAATATTTACGACTATGCCATTGACATTAAAGCAATGGGCAATGTGTACGTGATTGAATTAATTATGAGTTTTTTGATCAAAAAAAAAAAAAAATTAATTATGAGTTTTTATTTATCGAGTATTTTTATTAATGCCATTATCGCGTGTTTTGTTTTCTTATTTAAACCAATTATTCACCCAAAAACTTATAAAATCATAAATACGGACAGTATAATTAAAATTGGGTTAAGAATGTGTCAATTGTGTCTTGTGTGACTCACGTGTCGTGTTGTTGTATTATTATTTATGTCATGTTCATGTTAAGATTCACGAAATTTTATTTATTTATTGTATTATGAATATTAAAGATTAGTCTAGACTATTTATTACGCATATTTAATAATCGGGTCAATTTTATAATCATAATATCAAATGAGTGAGAGTTATCAACCTTAATTTATATGACTTCAATCTTAGTGATTGAAATAAATAATTGCATTAATGTGTGAGATGAAGTAGTATTATAATAGAACAATGGTTTGAGAATTTCATTATATTTTGTTTAAGAGAAATGAACATTTTATGACCATATTTACAGGTCTTTTGATTGATATTTTTCCTAAAAAGTGTATTAATTAAAAAGTGTAATGGTATTTAAATTTAATTTATTAATCTAATTTGTTGAATCAATCACTCATAATAATTTGAAAGACAGCTGCACAAATATTTGGCATGGGGTTATTCTCGCCCTTTAAATCTCCTTTTCCACCCTTTAAATTTTTTGCTCACCCTATTTAATTCTCTTACTTCAATTTACTAAATTCACTTTATCTAAAATATTTTGAGGGGATCTAAAATATTTTGAAGTATTTTGACATATTATTACCAATATCTTCGAAATATTTTGAGGTGTTTATAATATCTATATAATAAAGTACAATACAATTTAAATTTCAAAAGATAAACAAAATAATTTTTACTTTTCGCGGTGAAGATCTCTTTAAATTTTACTCTAAAATTAATCCGATAGTTAATATTAACATTCAAATTTAATAGAAAAATAGACCGCTAAGAGTGTGTTTGGGATGACTTTTAAAAGTACTTATAGAACTTATAACTACTCATTAATACTTTAAAAATAATAATATTTAGAACTGCTTCACCACTACCACCCCTACCGTCCCACCGCCATCCTCACTACCACTGTCGCCACTCTACACCACCTCTACCACAATCACCACCACCTCCACCGCTGTTGTTGCCACCACCATTACCACCACTCCCACCACCCTACCACCATCACGTTGTTGTTACTGTTGTTGTCGCCATCCCACCACCACCATTACCCACGGTGCAGCCACTGCCCTACAACCATTACCACCCACTATCGATTGTTATTATCGTTGTCCACAACCACCACCCACTATCGATTGTTATTATCGTTGTCCACAACTACCACCCACCACAATTTTCATTTTATCCTTATATTTATCACTGTCGCCCACTGTCAACACCCACCACTATCATTGTTGCTCACCACCATCCATCGCCGTCCACTATCACAAACCCAACACCACCCATCATTGCCCACCATCACCGCTACTCACTGTCACCCACCTCCATCAAACTTACCACCACCAATCATCATCACCCACCATTATTGCCACTCATTGCCACCCACCCCCACCATACCTACCACCACCACCACCATTGTTATTTACCACAACTCATCACATTGTCATCTAGAAGCACTTGTTGTCGTCCACCACCTCCATCATCACTACCCCACCACCGTCGTCACCCCACCACCACCATTGTCAACCACCATCATCGTCGCCCACACACCACTACTGTCGTTACTCATGATTGTCACTACCACTATCGTCACCAAAAATTCACCACCAACATCACCATTGCCACCCATAATTGTCATCATCACCACGGTTGTCGTCACCCACCATAACTATCATCATCTCCCACAACCACTATTACTACCATTCACCTCCATTATAATTAGTGTTTAAATTCTTTTATTTACTCTATGTTTGTAATTTGATTTTGAATGTGAATATAAATATATTTATTGTTGATTTTTTTTTATTATTTTGTACCTTCAAGCACAGACAATAACTAGTTTTGGTATAATTTTGACTAATATTTTAAAAATAAATTATTTATTTATTTTATTCTGCTTCTTAAATATTTTTCGTACATAAATAATACACCAAAATAAAATTTTGATCATTGCCTCTAAAATAGGTTAAAATAAAATTGAATGAATTTAGTTTTTAATTAATAAACATAGACGAATGGGTTTAGTAACTAACGAGGTGATTATAGATGAGGTGAACTTAGCTCTACCCAAATATTTGTTGGGACTCGCTATCAATCCAATAGTTGTGATGATAAATAGATTAGTAAATTATTTTTTTTGATAAATTATATCAATAAATTAGATTAAAT